CCCTGGTCATTGCTTTGTCGTCATCGTCTTTTTTTTTTTTCCCCTCTGGGAAAAAACAAGGGGAGTCCCAATTCCTGTGAGGTGGAGGTTATCGGTGAAGTTCCCATCCAGATCAGCCAACCTTCCAGAACTCCTTTTTCTTGGCCCTGTGTTGAGCTCACCTGCCTCCTCAGAGGACAGCTGGTTTATAGCTGACCTCCTCCTTGGCCCTAGGGATCTAGGATGACTTGGCTCTGGGCATGGCAGTGCCAGGGGCAAGGCAGAGGTGTCCCTCAAAATGCCCTGCTCACCAGGAGCTCCCTCTCCCAGGGTGTAAATTCAAATCCTGTCTTCCAGAGTTGGGCAGGCTCTGTGTGCCCCTTCTTCAGGATATCAACTAATAAATCAATACACACTCATGGAACAGCACAAGCTGTAGGACAAAGTAGTGAAAAGCATGGACTCTGAAGTTAGACTGGCTGGGTTGAATCCTGCCTCTTCACCCCTTACTAGCTCTGTGACCTTAGGCAAATTATTTGGCTACTCTTGAGTATTGGTTTCTCTTTCTATAAAATGGGGGAAAAGAATAGTTATATTTCTCATAAGATTGATGCGAAAATGAGATTTAATACATAGCAGGTACGTACAATGCCTGAAACACAGTGAGCATTCCACTAAGGGTTGTTATCATAGCTGGTGGTCACAGCACCGTGCTAGGTCCTACGGAGGAGACACAGGCATATCGGACACCATTCTATCCTTACGGAGAGGCAGTATGGGATTCAAAAGGGTATAGTTTGAGAGGAGCTAAACGGACCTTTAGTAAGTTATTTAATTCCAGCATACCTTGGTTTTCCCATCCCAAAACAATTCTTTGAGGGTGAGATGGTGGATTATAAACACCCTGCCCAGTGCCTGGCACATAGTTGGATATCAGTACATGTGGATTGCCTTCCCCTTCTCAGGAATTTATACTGTAGGTAGGGAGAGAGAGCAAGTCCAGAAACAGTCAGCCAGTGAAGGGCATGTGCAGGGGAATCTGCAGGAGTTTGGCAGCCAGAGGGTTAGTTCCTGTCGCTGGATTGTTCTAGGAAGTCTTCCTGGAGTATATCAGACCTGAGCTGGGCCTTGAAGGATGAATAAACTCAGCAGAGAGGATAAATGGGCTGCCAGTGATGGAAGGAATTGAGGAGATGGGGAGGGCAGTAGAGGCCCTGCCATGTTTTGGGGGATATGCAGAGAAGATTCTGCTAATTCTTCCTTCTTCCCTTTCGATTGGATATTTGGAGTTTTCCTTGCTATCTAATTTACATCCCTCTTGCTGTAGTTGAAGCCTGGTTCTCTTTGGAAGTGGAGGACAGTGGTTATTTCAAACTAAATGAGCTTTTGGTGTCTTTATTAAGCACCTTTTTCCCTGATATTGGGATAAAGACTACCTAAGGTTCCTTAGACAAAAGTGGCAGGAATTCTGAGGGACAGTTTTCAGCGAGTCTTTGGGCATGAATGATCAAAATAAGGTATCATTTAAGATGTAAGAACCAGACCCTGGGGTGCTTATAGCAGGGAAATGAATGTATAAAGAAGATTGTTTAAATCAGTACCATAGGATGTATTGGATGATAATTGGGGAAAAATAAGGCTAGAGCTCCACTTAATATGATGCACTGGATAAATGTGGGTAACAATTTACACATTAAAAAGAAAAACCATGATTATATGTACTCTTGACTGTGCAGAGTTTTGGGGACCCCCTCACCATAGACTTGAAGAATGAAAAGCCCTGAAGCAGGGCCCAGAAATCTGCATTTTCAGTGAGCTCCCTGGCGATAAAAAAAAGTCAAGTATTTCCTATATTTGTGTCTAGTAATTGTATAATTTTATGGTGGGGAAGGCATGATTCAAAGGCAGAAATCATTAAGGAAAATAGTAAATAAGGCTACATAAAAATAAAAACTTTCTATTTGTTTAAAAAATAACTGTACCATGACCCAAAACTGAAAGGCAAACAGTGAACTAAAAAAATTTGTAAGATACATGACAGAAAAATTACGGACAAGTGTATTCTTAAAATATAATGAGCACTTATAAATCAATAAAAACATCTTTATAAAAGAATGGGCAAAAGGCATGAATAGGTAATTAATTTATAAAAGAAATATAAATGTCTGATAACATGGCAAAATATTTTTACTAGTAAACCATTTTTCATCTCCAGTTTTCATAAAGAAAATCTGGTATATCTATACAATGGAGTATTATTCAGCCATTAAAAAAAGAAAGAAATCTCGCCATTTGCAACATGGATGGAACTTGAGGACATTATGGAATAAGTCAGACAGAAAGAGATACTGTACGATCTCACTTATATGTAGAATCTAAAAATGCTTACTGAGAGAAACAACATATTGGTGGTTGTCAGAGGTGGATATTGGGAGAGCAAAATAGGCGAAGGTGGTTAAAAGATATAGTCTTCCAGTTATAAGATAAATAAGTTCTGGAAATGTAGTGTATAACATGGTGATGATAATTAACAGTTCTGTATTGTGTATTTGAAAGTTGCTTAAAGAGTAGATCTTAAAAATTCTCATCGCAAGAAAAAAATTGTTAATTATGTAACGGATGTTCATTAAACTTATTGGGTGATCATTTTGCAATATATATATATATATTAAATCATATTGTATACCTTAAACTGATACAATTGATATATGTCATTACATCTCAATAAAATTGGGGGAAAATAATGGTAATTTACTCTCTCATCAAGGAGAAACAACCTTCTAACCTGAACAATCCTACTCAGTAATTCTGAAAGTAAAGGAACACTTTCCATCAGGACATGTCTGGTTTCTGGTTATGTACTCACTTCAAAAGCTACATTTTTTAGTTCCCCTGCACCCTAAAAACCTCTTACACTTCAACATCTTTGTCTCCCCATAACTTCATATCTATTCTTTATCATTTTAAATATGTTGTTCTCTTTAATGAAAGAGTGCAATGCTATGATTAATTAACTAAAGCACCTTCATATTTGTATTTTGAAAGATAGGAAGGAGTATAGGACTTACAAGATTAGATAAGGTATATGGTACACATTCATATTGGCACAATAAGAGCTCTTGAATTAAATATATATGTATGTTATTACTAATAAACCACTTTTAATCTTTCCAGTTCGCAGAGATTTTTTTTTTTTTTAGTAGTCACAGGGATGTAAAATATAGCACCGGGAATATAGTCAATGATATTGTAATAACTATGTATGGTGCCAGATAGGGACTAGACTTACCAGGACTAGACTTACTCACTTCATAAATATAAAAGTCTAATCAACTATGTTGTATACCTAAAAATAATATAATATTGTATGTCACCTATAACTGAAAAATAAATTTTAAAAAATCTTTTAAAAAAGCCTTAGAATATTTCATAACCTTAGATTGAAAAATTCCACCTGTAGAAATTAATTCACTTTTAGAAATAATCATGACTGCATACAAAAATACTACCGCAAAAATATTTCACAGTATTGTTTCTAACAGGGAAGAACTAGAAACAACTTTCCAACAATACATGTTTGATAACATACATTATGATATATTCACCCAATGTCATACTATGCAGCCATTAAAAATAATGTAGAATATTTAATGACATGGAAAAGTGTTAACAAGGTATTTTTTAGTGAAAAAATGCTTGCAAAACAGTTTGGCGTGATCTCATTTTAAAATATGTGTTTATTCATAGAATAATTTTATAAAAATTGACATTTTAAAGTGTTATCTGGATGATGAAATAATAAATTATTTTCCCTTTTTTGTGGCTTATTTATATTTTCTAAGTTTTCTACAATGCAAATGAATATTTCCATGATATTAAAACTACAATAAAATTTATTGTATAAAAACCAATTCATTGAGAAAATGTTTGGCATAGAACTTGCCTCTTTTATAAACTATTTCTCTAGTAACTCACTTCCTTAGTGTCCTTTCCCTCAGGAGGACCTCAGGAGAGGCAGGAATTCCTCAAGGCCTCCTCCCTTTGGGAGCATTACTGGAGGCCTGTGGTCTGCCTCCTGGTCAGGGGGAATCCAGCTTTGGGGAAAATACAAAGTAACCCAAGTTTGGGAGGTAGAAGAAATGGCCATTGAAAGATTTTATAAAGTCTGAGCAAGAAATTCCTTCATAGAGGATCTAGTTTTCCTGCCCACGTTTTCCTCAAACAAGCTAAGGATGACTTCGGGGCTTGTCCAAGGCCACACGGCAGACTTTATGACAAGGTGAGGCCTTGAATCCTTGGCCTTTTCTCCCAGTTGTATTTCTGTAATGTGTTGATTTCCACTAGGCCTTCTCATACTTTAATGTGCTCAGGAATCACCGGGGGTCTTGTTGAAATGCAGATTTTGGTCAGGCGTGGACCTGAGTTTGCGTTTCTAAGCAGCTCTTAGGCGATGCAGATGGTGCTGGCTTTGGGATCACAGCAGCAATGTTTAGCAGTGGTGCAGCAAGAGCCAGACTGTCTGCTGCCCAATCCTAGCTCTGCCATAGACTAACTATGATTGTTAGTGTGCTTCAGTTTCTTTATCTACAAAATAAGTATACCTAACTAACTCATTGAGCTTTTGTGAGGATTTAATAAGTTATTGCACATTAAGTGCTTAGAACAGTGTTCATTAAGAATTAGTTATTAGTATCTGTACTCCTTAGAGCAAGCCGCGGGTGAAGTAGGATTTGACGGAATGCACGAATAACCTTTAGAGAAAAGTTCTTTCTTGGGTGACTACTGTCAGAAGTAAAATGGGAGGGCTCGATGGTGGGGAAGAGGACCATCTCCAGGAAAGCTATCTCCACCGGTGGACCGAAGGGCATAGGGCTCCCGGAAGCCCGCAGGCCCGCGCCCCGCCGACCAACGCGGCATCGGGGGGGGAGGGGGACGTCCGCCAACCCTTTCCGTCTGGGACGCCGGCAGCCCCGCCCCTTGGAACGTTGTGACGTTAGAGCATTCCACGGTTGCTACATCGTCGCGAGGGGAGGGGCGCCTGTCAGGGAAGCGGCGTGCGCGCCGGCGCGGGCGGGTCGGGGCTCCACCGCTCAGTGCCAGCGCCAGCACCAGCACCAGCACCAGCACCAGCACCAGTCCCGCGCCCCGCGCTCTCTGGCCCGCCGCTTGCGTTCTGACTCTCGAGTTCTCACTCCAGTCCTGCCCGTGCGCTTCCCAAGTATGGAGCTGCTGTGCTGCGAGGGCACCCGGCACGCGCCCCGGGCCGGGCCGGACCCGCGGCTGTTGGGCGACCAGCGTGTCCTGCAGAGTTTGCTCCGCTTGGAGGAGCGCTACGTGCCCCGCGCCTCCTACTTCCAGTGCGTGCAGAGGGAGATCAAGCCGCACATGCGGAAGATGCTGGCATACTGGATGCTGGAGGTACCGCCCGGACGGGTCTCCCCTCCCCCGCCGTCCCTGCGTCCTCGGCTCCGGACATCCCGGGGCCGCCCTGTTGGGACATCCTGGTCTCAACAACAATCAGCAAGATGCCCCGGTGGCTCAGACCCCCAGGCCTGGCCTTTCACTCGGGCACCCTAGCCGGCTGCCTCCATGGTGTCCTTTTCCTTTCCCCAACTCCGACTTTGACTGCCAGTGGTTTGGCACTCTCTCTCTCTGCGGGCCGAGAAAGCGGGACAGGGGCCACCTTCTCCCCTCTGGCTTCTCTAGCGTCTCCTGCTTCCTTTCCCCGCCCGGTCTTAGAAGAGCGCGCCTGGGAAACCCTGGGCTCGGCCGCCCCCGCCCCAGAGCCGGTTCCTGTGTCTGTCTCGGGGTTCTGGCGGGGAAGACAGTGGGGGTGGCGCGCGCGCTGTTCCGGAGGTCAGGGAAATGAAAAGTGCGGGAGGCAGCCGCAGGAGTCTCCTCCCTTCCCTTTGGGTGTGTGCAGCGGGGAGTGGTAATGGGGGTAGGGTCCCAGCTCTCTGGTTACCGTGGGTGACTCGTCCGCCTTCCCCCCATGGGGGAGGGAAGTCTCAGTGTGGAATTCTTAAGAGAGCCTCTGGCGTACCCCTCCACCCCAGGGGAGGTGGAAGGAGGCATCTCAGAGGAAGTGGGGGGTGTCACCTTGGGGAAGGCGCATCCTCTGTATTAGTCCTTGTCACTGTAAGCACACTTACCCCACCTTCCATTTTTGTTCCTCGTCCCCCTTCCCTTCATCGCTCCCCTTTCAACTTCAGTGCTCCTGAGTTTCCCACGCCCCTGCCCCAGAAGTGACTGTGCATCCTCCCCCTAGGTGTGTGAGGAGCAGCGTTGTGAGGAGGAAGTCTTCCCCCTGGCCATGAACTACCTGGATCGCTACCTGTCCTGTGTCCCCACCCAAAAGGCGCAGTTGCAGCTCCTGGGTGCGGTCTGCATGCTGCTGGCCTCCAAGCTGCGCGAGACTACGCCCCTGACCATCGAAAAACTGTGCATCTACACCGACCACGCTGTCTCTCCCCGCCAGCTGCGGGTGCGTGCATAACTACCTGCCCTGCCCCATCTGCAACACATACTTCTCTTCACTTACCGGGAAAAGGAAAGCTAAGACTTCAGGCTTCTGCCCACCCCCACCCCCCGGGAGGGCACATGGCCCACAGAGGCCACACATTTGGGTAAAAGATGGGGGCAGTGCGGTGTAGTAGTTGGTGGTTAGGATAGTCCCAGCCCAGGCTTAAGCTGCCAGCATGAATTTACTCCCCTTCTCCTGACCTCCAGGGGGTGCCACTTCTTCCTGGTCTTTCCCCCAGATAGCAACAAGTCAAACTGCATGTCTACACTCACTAGTACTTTGCCTCTGGGTTTACACAACCACCATGAGTTATTTATTGGCAGCAGAAGGACATGCCTGCACACCCCCACTGGAGTGGGGGAGTGGAATGTGTTTCATGTGGGGGAGGGGGGCCGCCTTGGGTGAGTCTTTATCCCAGTGTGGACTTTGTGATTGAAAAAGTCTCCCAGAGCAGATTAAAGCCAGACCCTGATTGCTCTAAGGAAGGGCAGAGGAGTTTCATCCCACCTTTCCTCTTATATTCCAGAAGAGACAGTTCCTTCCTAATCCTTATTCTGAGAAACTTGAGCAGCTGCTTCAGGCTTGGTGGAATCCTCTCTCCCTTTCCCCCTTAGCCAGCCAAAGGCCAGAACTGAGGGACAGACAGGGAGCTGAGCTGCAGCTGCTTCCGATGTGATAATGATGCCCCCTCCCCTGGCCCGCCCACTCTGACCAAGGTCTTTCATAACCCTGTGGGGAGCTGCTGTCACTCCTGTGGTTTGGGAAGTGGCTCCCTGGGCCTCTTGCTGGGAACTTGGGCTGGGCTCTTCCCCAGGCAGGAGAGGAGAGTCATTGGTTCTCTTTCCCCAAAGCTTGGAGAGGTGAAGGACCTGCTTGGATCTAGAAGAGGTTATTTAGGGTGTGCAAATCATCTCCTGGGGGATCTTGGGGAGAGGGAGGGTGAGCTGGCACCTTCCTCAACCTTGTTCCATGCAGCCAAGTCTTCTCCTGACCCTGAGAGGAGTCTCTGGGCCCCATCTCCCTGGGAGGAGGGCAGCATGCAGGCTGCTGTGATTGGCTGGCCAGGAAGCCAGGGTACTGGGGCCCCCGACTGCTGCTTGTTGAGGAACAGGATTCCTCTTCCTGCCAAGTAGCTCTCAGAGATGGGAGTAGGAGGCCAGAGTTGGGAATCCGGGAGGCCCCACGGCTCTTTGTGATGAATCCAGTAGTTTTTGGCAAGTCTGAAGGTAGAGCTGGTTTCCAAGGCCAGCGAGCAAGATGTTTTTGGAGGGGTTTGGGCTGGAAGGTAGAAGGGGACTTCCTTTTTGTGTAAAGAGTGGGATGGTATATGTGCCTTTGTGTGAGGGGAGTTTTTCAGAACAAGCAAAAAGTACTTCCCCCCCCACCAACCCCCTCTGCCTGAGCTGGGGGTGGAGCGTGCAGATGGCTTCCTAGAAGGTCAGAGCTGGAAGGGACCTCAGAGAACCAAAGTCAGTCCAAGTGCTTGTGTAGCAGAGAAGGCTGAGGCCCAGTGAAGAAGGGAAGGATCCTGTCTCAGCACTGCACTGAAGCAGATGAGGAGAATCTGAGTCGTCTGGCTAGCCCAGGTGGTCTTAAAGGCTGGAAATATGATGGAAGCTAACAGCCACTGCACCTAATCACTCCCAGGGCCATGTTCTCTGCCAGACTAGGGCTGAAATTCTCAGGGGTTTCCCAGATACAGGGTAGGGTGGCTACCTTCCCTCACACATGACCTCATGCCTCCCCACAGGGTGAGCCCCACTGCAAGTTGCCTTCCAGATGTTTCCTTGAAGGCTAGATGCTTTCTTTTCATTTCTGAGTTAGGAGTTTGGTCACTGGACAAGCACCAGGAGTAGAATGCTAGCTTCTCTGCTTAACTTCTGGCTCCAGGCCAGGCTGTTTCTGTGGGTCTCTGTGAGAGGCTTGGGGCTGATTTGGGAGAATGACATCTAGGCGGGGGCCTATAAGGGGTTGGGTGGGGTTGTCATTTCTGTCTCAGTAAGGGATCAAACCCATGAGTTCCTTCCTGAGATAAAACAATGAAGAAATCCTCATGTGCGCAACTCAGAATTGGGGCCAGGACTGGGAACCCCAGAGGAGTGGACTGGGGGGTGGGGCTCTCAGTGTCCTTCTGGGACCTAGGAGTGGTATACAGGCTTGGGCAGGTGGAGATAGGGTTTGGCCCCTCAGGAATCATCCAGAGCTCTTCCTGAGACTCAAATGGCACTAGGCACTACAGGTTCCAGCTAAAGTGGGTGGAGTACGGTGCTATATCTCAAGACCCACCCCTGATGTCCCACCAAGGGGATGTGGGTTGGGTTGGGCAACCTCCCCTTTGAGGAACCTCAGAGTTGGCTCAGTGGCTGTGTCACTGGAGAAATGGCCTCATGTTCACTCCGGTTTCTTCAAGAAGTGTAGACTTGGCTGGGATGCAAAGTTGGGGGAGAAGCTAGTAGTAATCACCTCTTTCACATAATCCCTTTGGGATTATGGAGTCTTTCTGCTTTACTCCAGAGGAGCCTCAAGTTCATGGTGATGCTGGTGTTATCTGCTAGCAGCTGCATTCTCTTCTTGGCTGGAGAGGTGCTCAGAGCCCTGGATGAAGTCAGAAGAAGGCCTGGATTATTGGTCCCCAAAAGATAACCAGATAGGATTAGAAGAGACAATCTATGTAAAGCATGTAGTCTGGCACCTAATGATGAATAGATGCTGTAAGCAAATGTCCCCAGCTCCCTGCCCTAGACTCCTCACTCCACAGTGCCAGCCCCTAAACAAAGAAGCAGAATTGGGGCTTGACCTTCAAGTTTGATGGGCATCCTTCCCCATGAGACTTCTGCTTTACTCCCTTCCCCTTCTTTAGTCACTAACTCCATCCTCTTCTCCAACCTCCAGGACTGGGAGGTACTGGTTCTGGGGAAACTCAAGTGGGACCTGGCTGCTGTGATTGCCCATGATTTCCTGGCCTTGATTCTGCACCGGCTCTCACTGCCCAGTGACCGACAGGCCTTGGTCAAAAAGCATGCCCAGACCTTTCTGGCCCTCTGTGCTACAGGTAAGCACTCTAGGCACATTTTTGTCAAATTAGGAAAGTCAGACAACTTTGAAGGGTCGGGGTAACTAGGAGATTCTAGTTTTCTTTCAAAATTTACTTGCGAAAATTTTGTTCCCTCTTAGACCCCCGTTTCAATACAGAAATGCAGTAGAACAGAATCAGAGCTGTTTGGGATCTCAGAAACACCCAGTACATATGTAGGTGGGGGATCTGAGGACTTAGAAGTGACTTGCATAAGGTCTCACAGTGATTAGGTTGGGAGCAGAACCCAGGCCTCTTGACCCTAGTTTTGTTTTCAAATTAGAGACTCATTCACTCCCTGGTTCTCAGCCAGGAACTTAAGGACCACCTGGACCTGACCTACACAAGTCTGCTGTTCACCCTGGTCCTTTGTAGGACAGAGGCCCTTTCCCATCTTTCTCCCTTGCCGCTGTCTTACGCCAGTCACTGCTGGCATTTTCCAGTATGGCCCCTGCTCTATTCATGCTGACACTTTCTGAGGAATAGGAAGTCCACACTGTTACTCTTGATGTCCTCCTTGCC